AGAACATATCCATAGATACTATGGGCGGCAGAAAGACCAACCACCCAGAATGTGGCCCCTCCAAAGACAATTAGCGCACGCGCGGCTGCCATGAGTAGCACGGTTTTTGTAGGTGACCAGAATACTGAGCCGCGACCAAGGCAGGTGTGAATGACATCGGTGATGCTCAAAAAGATGGCTATCGCTAGGGCTAGGGGTCCTTTGGATGTGAGAAGAAATGCTGACATGATGTACGCGACCAGCACTGACCGCGATCCTGCAAGTAGCAATGCCCGGCGGGCTGCGGCTACCTGCGCTGAGTTTATACGGTTGCTCAAACCACAGAGATCTCCGGCAATGTCTGAGACGAAGTCAAAGTGTGGCGAATCGGAGCAAGCGCTGTAGCACTCCTTCATTAGCCAGTAATCCCCATCCTCGTCGTCTGGAAATTCCTTCTGAATGTCAGCAGCCGCACCGGCGAGCGCGGTCGCCAGAGCACCTTTCGCAGCATGCACCAATGCATTGAATTCGGTGGCTTCAACGGCTAGGGGAACGAGTCCCGCGGTAAGTAGGGCCACTGTTAGGGCAATAAAATCAACGGGGGGGCTTTTCTCATTGCCTGTCAATTTAGGATCAAGGAGAACAGCAGCAATAGAGAATATCAGGATACAACCTACACTGGCAATCAGGGCGCTGCAAGACACTGATGTGAGCCGCCATCCATCGAGCCGCCACCGAGAAAGAGCCCCCAAGATGCCAAGGATTGCCGTGCCAACAAGCAGGATACCAAGCCCTGCGTTTACGGGCTGCACCGTTGAAGCGATGATGACCCCTGCAGTCCAAAAGACAGCACATGGAATCGTTAAGAGAAAAAGGACGCATCGCGTTGCCCAATAATGATTGTGCCGTAGCTCTCGATTGTTGGTCGAGGCACCGTCCCCTAGAAACAAAGTCGCCGGGAGTTTTGACGCAGCCCGCCAGCCCTCAGCTGCTACATCTCTACCTAGAGAGAATAGATATCCGTCCAAACGATCCAGCCTAAACTCGCATAGTCTTAGAAGTGCAACAGTACCGGGAAGGACTATCAATAGAGGGATGCCAAGTTGTAGAACCTTGACGGCGAATTTTATCCGCTCGAAGTGAAGCTGCCAAATATGCGCTCTCGATGGTGCACCGAAGTGCGGCTCAGCCACGACAAAATAATTTTTCTCGCACTGAGCCCACCCAAGATCAACTGAGTTCTCTTCGACCGTGCCATACTTGTTGCGTTTTGTTGGGCCAGCAATTCGCTGGTAGCAGGCAAAGCCCTGGTAGCGGGCCTCTTTCAGCACGGGTATCGAAACATAGTAATCCCATTCATGGAGCCAGGATGGTACTGGATAGCAGCTTGCAAGGCGGCATATGGTCAATGTCGTTCTAGCATTCACAGAGAGCCGTGCGTGCCGAAACGATGAGTCAGTCGCATCATCATCTGATAAAAGTTGATTGAAACGACCATCTTCAGCAGTCGTCTGTAGCAAGAGCGCACCGGCCGCGTCTATTTGCGATGATTCGCCATTGACCGTGTAGATGCTCTTGTCAACGTAAGGCTGTCCAAAACCCGCGGTCGGAAGCTCGCCAGCGCTTTCTATGGCAGGATCCACAAAGAGAGATGTTGCAAATGATTCATCTGGATTAGAATTCGAAGTGTGTATGTCGTCAACGTATAGTTGGAAGGGGACTATTTCGACAACAATGCGAAGGCACGCTGCGTTCGTCTCACAGCACGCCTGTGTCCCAACTGTGGTGTAGTAGCCATCATTGAGAAGGAGCCAACCCTCTTCGCGACAGAGTTGTCGATGTGACATAGCCCACGAAGAATCATGTGCTGCACAGACCTCTTTGTCACAGTCGAGCTCAGCAAAGCCGGCAGTCAATGTTGAGCAGAAGGGCAGCCAAAGCGAAGCTGTGCCCAACGAGTCGTCTCCATCTATTACCTCGAGGCCAGTGTCATAATCCAATACCTCGAAACGCATTCGAGCTTCACCTGCACGGTGCCAGCCCATTGAGAGCGTTTCACTCCATCGGGGATTCTCATCGTTGCCGATTCTTTTCGTTTCTTTCGTGGACCAGTGACCCTCCGTCCCCACTCGCACGCGGACGTAAGGATCACTCGACCGTGCGACTCCTCCATCTGGGACTGTAGTCCCGTCTCGGTCTTCCAGATTTTGCGCTGCAATAACGGTAACAAATACATTACCACCAGCAGATCCCGAGTGCTGTCGTGATTGTACCGTGTAGTCCGGACATCCTAACGCGCCATTTGGACCATTGCATGAAAATCCCTGACAAAGAAATGATGCATTTGTCGGTGAAGATGATGGTACACTTGTGGTTGGCGGGAGAGACGAATACTCAGTGGGAGATTCTGTCTCAACGGGCACCTTCGTTGGAAAAAATGTGAAGGTCGGAACCGACGATGGCAGCGAGGTGGGTACAAAGGACGGCTCTTTGCTGTCTGTAGGCCTCCGGGTCGGCTCAACAGAAAGTGTCGGAAGTCGCGTCGGCGTCGGTGATGGCAATGATGTCGGAGCCGAGGATGGCGTATCCGTGGGGAAAATGGTCATATTCGGATTGTAAACTGTGGGGGGCTGTGACGGGACCGCAGTTGGTACCGACGTTGGTATCCCCGTAGGAACTGCGGACGGCCGAGCAATGAATGTTGGCTGCGCTGTCTGCGGGTATGTAGGCACGTTCCCCATCATCGTTGGGAGTGGGACCGGCACCGATGAAGTGGACAACCCTCCTGTTGATGGTGGGCCAGTAGAAGTTGGCAAACTTGTCGGTATTCGCGAATCAGTAGACGTTGGGGTAAGCGTCGGAGCCGCCGATGGGGACTGCGTTGGGAGCACAGACTGCGCGAGAGTCGTGGTGGCACTTCCAACCCACATCACGATCTTGAGAATTGGCCAAAGCCGGAACGGCAGCATGGTATAAAGGGTCGCGGTGCGAATGATCAACATCAGCCTCCGTCCGAACAAAGAAATACCAGGCTCGTTTAGCGCAGGGGATGATATAAGATATAGAAAGAGACAATATTAAGGAGTGATACAAGATATAGAATGATATAGTTGGATTAGGAGCTGGGTGTGCCTTCAACATGGGCTCCACCCAGCGCGGGGACTAGCCTAGTCTAGGACCCCCAGGAAAAGAATAGGGCCGGCTGGATAGGAGGAGCCTGAAATTTTCTTGGGGTCACGGTGCGCTCCATGCGCACAATAATAGAGAGGATGCCAGCTTTCTTTCCCCGCTAAACCCGGGACTTCTGCCGTCACAAGTAGATTCATACCTACATAGGGCTGGCGCTGCTTCTTTCTCTTTGGAGAAGATGAATGTTTAGTTGGCAGCTATGACACCATTGGTCGTCACTTCATGCCAGTGCGGAAAGTACGCTTTTCCCGGAGCGACGTCGTAACGGCGAACGCGGCGGGCGGTTTCGCGTCGAAAGCGCTTATTCGGGCCCGAGGGGAGGTCTGCGGGCCCCGCGGAGCGAGCGGGCCCCGCGGAGCGAGCGCAGTGTATGTACACGCTCGGGGGGGTCGGGGAATGAGTGCTCGCCTACGGCCACGTCTTGCTCGACATCTCTCTCGCGCTCGCGGCCGAGCGTCTGTCGGGGCGAACGAAGCGCTCCCGATCGCCACCGCCGCCGCCGCGGACACCTTCGCGGGTCTGCGGCGCCGCGCGCTCCGGGGCACATACGGAGCGAGCCCTAGTCAAAAAATCCCGCTAAAGTGGCTTATAGCGGCTATGGACGATCCCTGCGACTGCTTTTTGGCCCGATGGACGAACTGTCGCACTGCATTTACAGGGAATGGGGGTGAGATTAAGACTGCCAAGTTTCAGGTCTGAAGACCATGGGGTTGGGCGCGCGCGCCATCGTCTAAAAGGCCATAATGTGTGCGGTGTAGTGAGAGCGAGGGGTCGCATCGCCACGATCGTCGCGCGCAAGCCCCAAACTTGGTAGACGCGACCTATGTATGTATTAGAGTGCTATCGTAAGCTGCAGCACAGCTGCGACCCAGAATATAGTCATGGGATTATCACCGAGGCATGCATTCGTTTCATGCGATGGACCGATCACCGGGACTACATTTTGGCTCGAGACAAAGTTGGAGCTCACGGAAGCACTTAAACTATATGAGAGATGAAGCCTGCCAAGTTTGGGGCTTGCGCGCGACGATCGTGGCGATGCGACCCCTCGCTCTCACTACACCGCACACATTATGGCCTTTTAGACGATGGCGCGCGCGCCCAACCCCATGGTCTTCAGACCTGAAACTTGGCAGTCTTAATCTCACCCCCATTCCCTGTAAATGCAGTGCGACAGTTCGTCCATCGGGCCAAAAAGCAGTCGCAGGGATCGTCCATAGCCGCTATAAGCCACTTTTGCGGGATTTTTTTACTAGGGCTCGCTCCACATGCATGCGCGCGAGAGAGCATGCGTCGCGCGTCGGACGCTGCGACGTTCTTGAAACTGACCCTGGAGTCGAGCTCCTGCGCCGCGTCGTCTCGACGGTGGCCGTGGGGCGTGTGACGCTGCCCCTACCCCAAGGGATGGTCTCGATCCATTCCATACCACCATTGCGTCGGGTCCATCGCAATTTAGTGCGCCCAATCGTCTCCCATCGTTGCCTTTCCAGCCCCAGGGCCTCTGCGCCCGCGGCCGTTAAGGTTTCGCCGCTCGGGGGTGGTTCTGGCGAATTAAACTGGTACCATCGGATGCGGCGGGCGACGGAGGTCACGCTCGTCAAGGTTTAGTTCGCCAGAACGACGCTCAGGACCCGCCCCGGGAGCCGCTGCCCCGCGACGACGTCCAGACCGTGAGACACGCTTACTTTTTTCACTCGGCAACGCCGCGGCATGCGTTTTAGGTGAATAAATCCGGTCATTGAACGTGTCAGTGGTTCCGACGAGCACGAAATGCTAGGTTACTCCAGTACGAAGGTATAAACCCAGCAGCTACTCCTCAACTGTGACTGTTGGTTCCCCAAGTGTCCACCAAATTTAAAGGATTAGCTATAGTTTGCCCAAGCACGTACTTAAGCTTGCCTCTGATGCTCTAGATTAGGCCTTTGGGAAACTACGAACTAAGTGGACGAAATTAATTATGCTTGATGCGTTACAAATTAAGTATGCTTCTAAAATCGAAACTCGACGTGGCGAGCGTCAAAATTACGCGCGGCAGACACGTCTGTGGTTTCGAGAGTTGGATGAGATCCGGCAGGAAGCTGCTTGTGCACGGAGTCGACCAGTGAGTGCAAATAAAGCCTCGCGCAAGGACCACGCAATACTCGTGGGGCGCTATCGTCAGGCTCGTGGCGAACAAATCAAATGGCAGGACATTGCAGATAAGACCATCGAAGAGAATAGGCTACTACGAGGAGAAGTCTGCGCATTGAGGAAACGGTTTTGCGACGCCCAGATATCGGCTGCCTACACTGGCAAGAGACATTTGGACGCGGAGGTCTCACTCAGTGCGCTCAAGTATGCTGCGATGGAGACTGAGAGGGCGGTAGTTCTAGGATACTTGAGCAAATGTGGAGCTTTGCTTGAAGAGCTTGAAGCTCAAAAGCTGCAGACTGCAGTAATTAGGCGACAAGTTGTCGATCTACGACAGGAGTTGTCTGGCGTGCGCCGGCAGCTAGCTTTGCATGCTACAGAGCGTGGCGAAGTAGTACAGCAAGCTCTTTTCTCCAGCCGAGGGGGATACTCTACCAAGCAAGGCATGCCATGCACTTTTGGTATGTTGTCCCTCCAGCAGAGGGTGTGTTGGGCTGGGTTGGGCGCGGTTTCTCCATTTCAAATGCGACGAGGTGCTTCTCCGAACGCTAGGGCCGATTCAAACCTCAGGCCTAAGATTGAAAACGGCAGAGAAAAAGTGCGTTCTGCCGCATTACCAAAAGAGTCGAATTTCAAGGCCTCTGAAGTAGCAAAGCAACAGACAAAGAGCGACAGCATGAGGATCGTGCAATTTGCGCAAAATGTTGTGAGTGGCCAGATTCCCCGCGCGCTATCTTTTAAAAAACTGAGAATCACACGCAAAGCTGGCGCTACTCGCAAGGCTCATCAGCAATTGGCCAATGATGCCAGATCTCTAACCGATCGTTGCGTCTATCTCCAGCACCAAATATGCGCTGCCTTGAGCGCAGAGTGCCGTTGGCGTGAGGAGCGCATACTACTGCTATCATCAGCACGAATGTTTGACCTTGCAATCAAAGAACTCTATGCTAATTCCGCAAAGAAAGACGCAACAAAAGGAATGTTTGATATGAAGCGTGTTTCTGCGTTCGATGTCCATGCCGAGCATGCTGCATCAAAATGGCCAATGGCCTCAGACGCACATCGATTTGCGAGCCGTGGCTGTATTAGTGCAATTTCAGATGCTAACAAAGCATGCCAATTCGTAGAAACCAATACGCGCCATGATAGCTTATCAGAGAAGAGGGTGGAGGTGTTGGGTGATTGCACTGACCTTGATCCTCTAGATTCTATGGGCTTGCAGGGATTCATTCTGCATATTAAGGACATCATGGCTAACGAGGTTACAGGCATTACAGATCCAGGTATGAAAGGGGGTAAACTCTTGATTTCACAGGAGCTCATAGCGACAAAGCTCAACAAAGTATTCGCTTACATGAGAAATTTTGGAACGGTGGCGGCACGTGAGTGCACTGAGCTTCGCGCGTTGCTCGCAGTCAACGAAGCACAAACATCACAAGAGGGAGCTATGCTTAAGCGGGATGCGGCGGCAGATATTCATCAAAATCAGGCGGTATTACAGTACATCTATGCCACTTGTCTGCACTGTGCTCAAGCTTGTGGTACTCATCTACTGCGGCTTGAACTCCCCTGCATGAGATTATCTGATGATGCAGCTCTTCTAATTGTGCGATTACTAGCAGGTATGCCTCGAATCAAATGTAGTTTATCTGCTTATCCGGTGGCGGATCATATCATGCAAGGTCAAAAGCCAAGTCTGCATGCTCCCCATAACTTTCGACCACATAATTGGTTGTCGCACCTCATCCTTCGTGACAATGCACTTGGCGATGTTGCTGCGGCAGCGCTTGCTATCAACATAGTTTCCATTGCGCCGATTCTGGCCTATGTGGACTTGAAGAACAATCAGATCTCCTCCAGTGGCAGACAAACTCTCAAAATTGGGACCGAAGCAAACAAATCTGTGCTTGAAACATCCTCGTTCAGCCATGATGACTGTAACATGCGGCTAAGGGAGGAAGCCCTCGGTCCAATTATATGTGGCTGGCGTGAGCACGAAAACTGGACCATCGAGCGGGTGGGAGCCGAAATTGCCCGACTTGAGCAACCAGGCAGTCACTATCTTGGCATTTTGAGCGGCATGCTTGTGGATCCGCATGTGCACGCCCCCCCGCCCCTCTTGGTCGACCTTCGTGGCAACACGCCCATTGTCACCGTTTTTAAAAAAAAACGGTGACATCTAAGCCAACCTTGAACTTGAACTTCAGCACTCTAGGGTGAAGTTCAACTTCAGCATTCAAAGTTGAAATTCAACTCATGCACTCAGCCTTGAAGTTAAGCTTAAAAGCGAGCCGCAAAATCGTAAAGGATATTTTTCATTATTGTTTACCGCCAATATAGCCACATTTCAAATTTGCAGGCGACATGGCTGAGATAGAGGGTGCTTGCGAAACAGAACCGCTGAAGCAGCTAGAGATCGAATGCTCCAAACTTTATAACCTAGTGTCAATGCACTTTTAGCCTCCTGTTCCGGTGCTCCGAAATCCTGAGCGGCAGCTGGATCATAACCTGCGTCTAACATTCCCGACGATAACGACCTCGTCTGAAAATATCCTGGGTGGGGTGGTGGTGCATGCTGTGGTTGGGTGGTTCACCGCCGTGCTCCTGGTACCTGTTACAATGTCATATTCCATATCTTAGCAGAGACTCGTCATGGACGGGTTGCAATTCAGGAAACCCGCCGTCCCGACCTCTCGCTTTCGCGGCGTATATGCCTTCCGATCACCGCTCCGTCTCCGATACAAATGGCAATGCTTCATGGCCATCGATGAAACCCGAAGGGAGCATCTGGGAACATTTGAAACAGAAATACTCGCTGCTCAAGCATTCGATACACGTGCAAGGACACTCGGTCGCTCCTCGGAATGCAATTTCGATGAAGAGACTCAACCACGCATTCCCAACGAGGACTTGAGCTACGACAAAACACAAGGTCAGCCTGCCGATAAGTCAATACCCCCCCCCGCCTGGTTTACTACGTCCAGCGTCTGCCGCGGCGGTTACTGGTCGTCAGCGCAAATCAAGGATGGGCGCTCGCAGGTCTGTGTCTGATTCCACGAAACGTGGCCTGGTGACAGGTGGAGGCCACAACTCGGAGCAAGCCGCAAATTCTCTCATTCTCGCCGAGTGAGTTCCAAGACGAAACCAAAATCCATCGTCGTTACACGGCGCTTTAGGTCTACGGTGACTCACCGGGCCTGGCCTGTCGATTGCAGTGCATTTTAAGCTGACATTCCTATCGCAAGCACATGAAATAGGCAGGGGCTCCGGCACGCGGCGATGGACAACCACACCGCGTGGGCAACTACAGTAGTGGAGCACGTGCAGAGGTTCCACAGTCGCGCTTTAAGGGAGTCTACTTTGTCCTGGGGGGTCGCTGGGAAGCTAAGATAACGTATCGTTCAAAATCAAAGCACATTGGGACTTTTGACTCCGAAGAGGAAGCAGCGCGTGCATTTGATGCTCGTGCGCGCTATCTTGGAGTCCCTGAACGTTGCAACTACGACGATCGCGGTATGATTATGTAACTATACGCTGCTTCTTCAGATTTCAATCTTGCAGGCAACGAGGTCATGGAGCAAGCTTCTGAACCTTTCCGTGGCGTTCGAAGGTCACGGAACAAGTGGCGCGCAGTCATCTCGGTGGACGGGCAATCTGTTAATCTTGGCATTTTTGACACCAAAGAACAAGCGGCGGAGGTCTGCCGTGCTGCTGAGTCGCAGAATGCAGAACGCAAGCGAAATGTGGTCCTTGCGTCCAAATAAGGTTGTAATCTCAATGAACGATCTTGCTCTCAGGCTCTCTCCGGTGCGAAGCTTGCTATAGACGCCACAGCTGATGGCGCTGGGTTGCGTTCAAGTTGTATTCCCGAAGCTGTCGCACATTCACGCAAGCGACCGCGAAGATACCAGGGTATACCGCTGCTTGAGTCGGCTTGTCATGCGCAAAATTTAGCCGACGGCCCTCAAGGCACGGAAAAATCGGAACTAGTCCCTGCTCTTCAACTTTCGCCAGTACAGACCCAGTCTGGGGCAATGACTCCCGCATACTACTTTGGCTTCCAGATGCAACCGACCCAACCACTAGAGACCGCACAAAATTTGCATTGTATAGACACTGGTTTCTGGCAACCATCACTTGGTCGAAGCATGCCGCATAGTGCGCCGATACCACCTACACAACGTCCAGAAAGTGCCAACAACGTCATCAACAGAAATCTGGAGGTGCGCCATGGCCAGTGGTTTTCCCGGCTCAACACACTTGGGGAACCCGAATTTCTATTTGCACAAGTACCACCCGCTGCGACAGACGTCACTTCAGCCAGTAACTCATGATAATTCGTGACAATTCTCAGAACCAGACCGTACCACAATCGCCCAATGCAGATTCTACACACTGGGATATGGCTGGTTGTAAACAGCCAAATCCCCAAACCGAGGCTGCTATCGGCCTAACAGGCACGTAGAGCCAGCAAGTCGGGACTCTTGCCACTGGCCAGCGACCTGCAAAGACTCTCGTCAACCTGGCGAATAGCACAGGGGGAGTGCGGCCGTGTAGCGGCAGTACCACGTACGTCGGTGAAGGGTCTGTTTTCGGAGTCCCCAACAGGACGACGCCTCCTGCGGGCGTAGAGAGTTTTGCTGGATGATGGTGATTATGGCTAGTACCCTATTCAGATAGATCCCTTTTTCACGTTCACTATACTGACAACGAGGAATCCTCTTTTTACGTGCAGCCCCGCAGTTCCCCTTAGCACAAACTGCGGGGAAAATAGAGAGAAATACCCCAAACTAGGGTAATAAGGAACGTTAATGTCAACGTTACGGGGGAGTGCAGTGTCATCTCCATAGTGTGACGTCGCGATAGTGAGGGAGCAGGGTAATGTAAATTATGGGGATGATGGTGGATCAAGCTAGTACTCTATTCAGATAGACCCCTTTTCAAGTTCACCGTGGAGAAGTAAAGTACGAGGGGGGGAAGGAGGAGCCTAACTAGAGATACTCTCATATTCCCGGACCTCTAACTAGAGGAGCGGAATGTACTAGTAGGCTCCCTAGGTAGCTGGCTTATCGCCAAGCGCACTTTGATTGTGCTTAATCACACTCGCGTTCTAAGGGCGATATTCGCCGCTTTATCATCATACTGGCCTATGCTGGCTATGCTAAGTCTGCCTTATACTGGCTATGCTCATGCTATACTATGCTGGTGCTGCATACTAGCATACTCGGATTCTAACAATGATGGCGCTTCGGCACTACTCTCAGTGAGTTCGAGGGACGTAGCAAGGTCCCCAGCTTCTTTCTTTTGCGCCTCCGGCGCCTTCGGCGCCAGATTTGTTCTTTGTCCCCCCCCCCCCCTATTTTTTTTCTCAGGCTGTTTTTTTCGGTGAACCGGCGCGGAGCGAGCCGCCCCATGAGGTCCACGGCGTGGAGAGCGTCTCTTTCGGGCAGCAGTGCGCGGCGCGACTGCGTGCACTAAACTCACGGGTTGGTGCGCCCGAAAGCTGACACTCGCGCGCTCACGGGCCTGTGCGCCGTGAGTTTAGTGCACGCGATCTGCCTCGTCACGGCAGCTACGAAGGCGGCGCATTTTGCTGGTTTCGGTGGCCGTGGCACGAGGAGATCCGGGCACGGGGCAGCGTGCTGGCTGGCGCGGAGCCTCGGGGTACATGTATGGTGCCCTCGGGCTGCTCAGTCACTGGTTTGACCCGGGCGACGTGCGATGCGCGCGCGCGGCCGCGCGGGTGCGCGCGACGCGGTTTCAGCCCGAACGTGTCGGACCGATTCCTCGGCTCCTCTGGGCCAGCCCTTGTGGCAGGGCGCTCGCGGGTCGATGGCGGACGATCCCTGCTGCTGCGCGGGGCTGCCCGGGCCGCTCATGGGCCGGGGGAGGGGCGTCGCGTCGGTCAAATCGGTCGCCCGAACCACTCTCGTTCGCAGCGAGTCGCAATCCAAATGATGCCGCTCCTTCGCCGATGGCAGCCCCCATGTGCGTGCTACGCGCTGTCCCAGGGATCTTGCACGCGGGGGCGCGCGCGAGGTGGTAGGCGCGCTCGACTAAATTTAATGCCTCCATGCCGTCTCGGCCCGAAATCAGCGGAACCAAATACATACAGCGAGCCGCCTATATGCTCAATAAACCAAAGTTTTCTAGTTGTTGCCCAATCGCAACGTACCTTCAAACTCAGCGGCGCCGTGGACCTCCTAGCCGCCCCACGTTTTTAGGACGTGAGATGGGGAAGCGTCGGGATAGTGAGGATTTCGCAGGATTTGACCCGCAAGCTTCACCACGTGAGAATGAGGGCGTGCGAGAGGGAGACGTTGGTCTGATTACAACGCGCTGGGGGTTGGTCGTCTCGCCTGAGCAATACGACGAAGTAAGCAACTCGAGGAGTGACTCGCGCAATACGCTCGGGGCCGTGCGAAAACGCATGTGCAGCCATGAGGGTGTGTTGGAACTTTCGGTGTTCTTTGGCTGGCTACTAGTCATCACGGCGCACGTCGCTCAGATTTGGGCTCTTTGGTGGTTTTTCTGGCAGCATGTTGTTGGTGATGCGCATCAGCGGTGGAGACGTAACGAGCCGATAGTTCGACTTGGGCTCAACTCAGATCCGGCGGCCACTCGTGCAGCCATGAAGCGCAGTCCATCACTAACGGCATCTCTTACTTGGCATGCAGCACAGCGTTCTGTCACCGCCAACTGCGCAAAGACCATGGCTTGCTTTGCCGCGTGGACAATATGGCTCAGTGTCGCCACCGCTGCACGGCGTATTTTCAAGCGGCTAATGCCTGCGATGGTGCGCAACTTATCTTTCAACAATTTGAGCGGATATCAATATTAGGTCTTCGCAGTATGTTTCCATGCAGAGCTTTTTGGCATAACTGGCCTTGTCATGACTTTATGCACCAACTTTGCATCATACCTGCATCAACCGGGGAAACGGCTCTTTGATGTTGGCTTCGTGATCGTGCCTGAACTTGGTCGTGCAAGTCGTCTCGAGCCTGTTTCAGATGTGTTGACTGGAGCTATGCCCGTGGTTGCGTTTGTATACATAATGTTTTTTCTGGACCGTCGCCGTCGTTGTCGCTGTCTGACGGATTGGTTCCGCATGATGACTGTGGTTTATGCATTTCGTTGCATAACTTCTACAATGACGTCCCTGCCTGGTCCAGCACCGCATTGTCAGTCCAAAGCCCAGGAAAATGATGTTTATCTCCCCCCCGATACTTGGCACGATATCGCCACGTCCCTCACAACAGCCATTTCAGGCGGTTCTTGCGGTGATCTGCTATTCTCCGGTCATGCAGCGATGACAACGATTACTACACTTCTCCTTGTGAGACAACAGCGACGTCACGGCCAAAAGACAGAGCGCATCGCGAAAGTTCTCGGCTGCACATATATCTTCCTAATGTGTCTGTTTGCTGTTGCTAGCCGTCATAGTCAGTGTCGCCATAACGTTCTATCAACTTACATGTGTTCACATTTCAGGGAAACATTACACTGTTGACCTTGCGCTTGGCACCCTCATTGGTTCCCTAACTTACTTTCGTTTTCGTGACTCATGGTCCAGAGACCCCGTAACTCTAGACCGCATGGATGTAAGTCCCTGACTTCTTACTTATTTGCTTCGACCCCTTGCTGTTTCTCAGGCAGTTGTACGCTACTATTCTCCTGGGGCGGATCCCTACGCGACAGAGATCTATCCCAACGAGCAATCAGTACAAACGCCCTTATTAGAAGTGAAGGCGATGTCTCATATTGTCTGATGGGCCAGTGGGACCGGCGTACTTGGGTAATGAAATGAACCTCGTTGTGGTTTTTTTGTTCGTCGTCCCGCCGCGGGTGTTCGGGGCAGGCTTTGATGTTCGTTCGTCTGTAATCTGGGTATGATTTTGGTTTTGCTATGCGTCTGCTACCACGCTAAAGCGGTTGATATCATCCTCTGAATGCGAGCCTGATTATCGGAGCCCGCGGCCCGCCCCGCTGGCCCGCCCGCGCGCGAACTGGAGCTCCGTCATTCACGCGGCATGAGAAACCCAACGGGGCCTAGTTCGCGACTTGGCGCCCCCCCCCTAGCCGCTGCAGGGTGGGGACCGAGCGAGAAGTAGCTGGCTAGTGGCCGGTAACTTTTCTTGGTTGTTTTGGGTTTGATTCTGGCATCTCGCCCCGCCGGGGTATTTGCTCTGAGTTCAACGTTGTCCCAGTTTGTCCCCTGTTGCCAGTGAAACGGCACAGTGCAGCAAAAGCCGTCGTTGCATGGGCTTTTCTTCGCAGCGCTCGCGATGGCGTTTGAGCTTATGCGCCGGGATCGGCACTGGGGAAGGTGTCTCGCTACCTCCGGAAACACTTTCGTTCGCGCGTCGACAGTGAAGTGATCAAAACTCGGATTCTGATAGCCTGGATTTAAAAGTCAACATTTTTGTTGAACTTCAGCACTTTTGTTGAAGTTAAATCTTGCGATTTCTTGACCCGAACCAGCGACCGCGCGCAAAAAGTCTTCGCAAACGTGCAATCAACGCGTGAGTATCATCAAGCTTGCTTTGATACGACCATTTAACCAATTTTGGCCGTGATTTCAGCCCGCGGACCTCCGCGACACCGCGCCCGCGCGCGCGGTCGACGCACAGCCTCTATGGAGGACTAATGACTCTGGCTCCGCCGGCCGGAATTCGATGATTGATCTTTATTAATTAATTTCCTATGGGCGTGTCTAGATGTACGTTGATCACTTCACTGCGCGTCGACCCACCATGACGCGGATCCAGCCAATGCCCGGAGGCAGCGACCGTCCGGAAGCCGTCGAACCCGACGTCGGTCGGTTCGAGGTCCCGAGGGGCAGCCCGGGGCGCCTGGGGTGGGGCCTCACCTCAGGACATGGTCTACGGCTTTAAAGCGGCCAAATCGGTGCGGAAGTCGTTGAGTCCTGGTGCCCCGGGCGGTCATCGGCCCTGGTCAGATTTGGCTACTACACCAAGTGCGGCTACATAATATTGCGTTCGGCTGCGTGGGCGCCGGTGGCCGCCACCAAGAACCGGACGTGGTCTTTGGTTTTTGGGGGCCCTGTCGGTAATGAAAGCTGCGCGTACGAATGGAAAAAAGAAGGGCTCGTCCAGTGGTCCACAGTGCGTGCGACTATCTGCGGTGGCTTTAGTCTTGTCCTGGGCGGGGTTGTTGTTTTATGTACTGCGGCCGGCATCATCCGATGGGCCTTCGGGCCATAGTTTGATGTCAAGCGCCAAGATGGATCAGCTTGGACTCAGCAATGGTAAAGAGATCACGACTTTCGTCGGGCAGTTCGATTCAGCTGCAGAGTATACTTTTTCAAAGCCTCTTGGAGCATTCGACCAAGGAGAAAGAGGCTTGCCCCAGCCCAAAGACGACCCGGAAGAGAACTTGGATGTTCAGATGCAGCATACTGTTCTCATGGAGCGGGATGGATTCGCCATGGAGTTAGATGAGCAAACGAACCTACAGGTACCCATGTTTTGGGAACCCCCCGCGGGTTCGGAGCAGTTGGACCACGTGGACATGATTGACGGGCAGCCAACTATCTTCCTCATGATCGCGAGTTATAGGGACTGGCAGTGTCGGGATACGGCTACATCCGCGCTCGAGCGCACGATTCCAGAGTGAAAGAAATCTGCTTAAGTGCACCGTCTCCCTGTAGGAGCGACATTTCCTGGGCGTGTTGTTGTGGCCGCAGTACAGCAAAATCGACCGGGTGATGTTGGGTGCGGAGAGCCACCAAAGCCGTGCAGCGAGGAGCCATCGCAGCCACTTTGTGCTCGGGCCAAACAGGTCAAAGTGTATGCTATGGATGCCAATGAGGTGACTGGCAATGTCTTGATCTCTCTTTTACTTCGAAGTGAGTCTTGTTGTGCTCAGTCCTGGATACATGCAAAACCAAACACCAGTGCTGATATTCTCATCAACTAATTCCCTGGAAGAATGGACCTCGTTCCTGTTTGTATGCTAGAGCTGTGTGATATGACTTGTAACTTAGGCAACGGGACCTGTGTATGCGCGGCATGTGGGTTATCGCATGTACCGAGGTGAGGCGTTCGCTCTGCAGGTGGATGCGCATTGCGTATTCGTAAACGGCTGGGACGAGAGTATCATCGAACAATGGCGCCTGACACGAAATGAAATGGCAGTCCTTTCTACATACTTAACTGACCTGAAGGGCTCCGTATCCACGGAGGGTGACTCTCTGCGAAAAACTCGACCAATCATGTGCAACTCAGACTTTGAGGGTCAGCCCGGATATCTTCGCCATGGGTCACAGCCTGAATCGGTGCCCTCGATCAAGACCGAGCCGATGCTGCAACCATATTGGGCGGCAGGCTTCAGCTTTGCTCGTGGACACTTCCTCAATCAGGTGAGATACGATTGTTGCCTTCCTATGGTGTTTATGGGTGAAGAGATTTCAATCGGAATCAGGGGCTGGACTCACGGATACGACATGTACGCGCCCCAGGCAAGTGTTCTGTTTCACGAGTATGCGCAGATGTCAAGCCGCCGGAGAAACGTGCCCAAATTTTGGGAGAGTGGCAGTGCTAGACGTGGTGACGGTCAGCGCAGTCTGAAAAGACTCACATCTCTGATCCATATGAACCCACCGGGAATGGACAATGACTGGGATCGCACAAAAATGGGGCTCTACGGTCTCGGGACCGAGCGACCTGTTGAGCTTTTTTACAAGCTGACGCTTGTTGATGTCTCGAAGCGCTCTGCTGTCCCCATCTGTCGCTTCGTCGACACAGGTGAGATGCACAAAAAGATTCATAACGTGTATCTTCGGCCAAATGGACGCGGTATTGACTATTCTGGTGCCGTCCGCGATCTGGATGTGATGCAGATAGTTGACGAGCGTCTCTTCAACCCTGCTATCAATCAACTGAAGCGTGGGCTTGAGAAACATGACCATAATATAATGAAAAATGCCGTTGCGGAAGCCCAGCGTTGTAAACTCGAAAAACACCATCCACAGTATAAGGAACTCATTGCTCGAGTACGAAGTGAGCTCGCAACAAAACAAGGGGCCTAGCCCGAAACTTAGTGTCCCCTCATCCATTAGTGTGAAACGAGAGGAGCCGGCGCGCTGCGCGCGCGGACAGATAAACAAAACTCGTAACCTCAAGGATCGTTCTCCGGGCGCGGGCGGCCACTATGATGCACGGCGCCCGTTTCGGGTTCTTAGGGCGAGCTAGGTGGTGCCCGGGCGCTGTGCCCGGGGGGCTCGACGCATCCCGCGGGAAACTCGACGCATTCTAGTTTGGACCCCGCCCGCCCCCCCCGCTCCGCCCCCGGGCGCCTGAGTAAAGCCCCCAGCCGCCGACCAAAAAGTGTCGGGGTCGTTCCGGGTTCCTTGGGGTCCCGTCCGACGCATGGGGGGGTTTCTGGGCGGGGTTCTGCTGCCGGCGGCGGCCGCGGAGCCGCGGGGCCTATAGAGAGAAATACCCCAAAGGGTACTAAGGAACGTTGATATCAACGTTACGGGGAAGTGCAGTGTCATCTCCATAGTGTGACGTCGCGATAGTGAGGGGACAGGATAATGTAAATTACAGGGATGATGGGGAATTGCGAAGCTACTCAATTCAGATAGATCCCTTTTTCAAGTTCACTATACTGACTACGAGGAATTCCCTTTTCAGGTTCAGCCCCGCAACTCTCCTTACGCATAAACCGTGGAGAATTAAAGTACAAGGGAGGAGAGGAGGAGCCTAACTAGGGGTACTCTCAGGATCGGGAATAATTTTGTTCGCACATAGGGCGCGTCAGAGACTCGCGCCCATACGCTGCTGCCCGATTTAATACTGTTGAGCTCTAGTTAGTGTTGGACCTATATATTTCTTGTTGCCCATCAACGCGACGAAGCGAAGTATTAAGGAAGGGAAAGGATACTGGGTGGCTCTGTACCAGCGAGCCACTAGGGAGATACAAAACTCTCTGTCTCTCTAGTTTACTCAGGCGCCGGAGGGGCCAAAACTGGAGCACGTCGAATCCCCCGCATTCGCCATGGCACCTGGGTGCCCGCGCCCACCTTCCGAGTGGCCGAGTGAAGTAACAGCGAGGTGACAGCACATGCTCTCAGCGTAGGTCCTTCGAGATAGGAGTTCACTCAAGTCAATCTCCAACTAAGATAAAGCGGAGTAGCCAGTCATACATGACGAAAACACAACCGACCTTCTCAAAGTCAGATAAAATCGTGAAAGGCTGCACGAGATTGAAAGAGCTCCCCAACATTCCACGAGTCAACAAACTCTTCGCCAAGAGTATTCACTAGAGCGGCGTAGCCATGGCTAGGATACTGCGACGCATGCTATTTGGGTCTGATGTGCAGCAAAGCACCGCGCAGACACCGTTTTGCAGTGCTATGCGGACATTTTCAGGATCATCGTCAATCAGGAGGGTGCTCTTTCTACAGATGTGTGCTGCATAGCAGTGTGATAGCTCTTCAACCGCCGATGACATGTGTGGCTATAGAGAATGCATTGAGGTAATTGCATCAAGTTAGGCACCTACTTGCTTGCCACTTCGAGCTCCATCACCGGAATACTTCCAGTTGCCATCACCACCTCGAATAACGATCTGACACATGCAATGTTGAATAAATATATGATGCAGATGAGTAACCTTATGAGCATCATCAGGAAATAGTAAGACCAAAACCTTTGAAATTAAAGTGACCTGCTCGTGCTCAGAATTAATGTGGAAAAATCTCATTTTCAACCAACCTGGGAGGAAAAGGTTACCACTGCGACATGAATTCCAGAACCAAGTGCCTCGTCGACAACTTCTTTGATGCAAGGCCGGACTCTTGACGCCAGCGCTGCTGCTGAGCCGGTCCAACAGCCCTCAGTGTGCACATCAATCAATGTGAGATCGAAATCGATTGCTAACAACTTAATACCTGCTCTCCGGAAGGTGCTCATTGAGCCGGACCGCATCCTCGGCGCTCGCAGAGCACCTGCAACCTTGCAGCGCTGCGCGCAACGTAGCCTTGAACCTTAGGAAGTGTGAGAGGAGATCGACCAACGAACCAAAGAAAGCGCGCCAAAATTTTAATGCCCCAAGCAAAGCCGGCCAGACAAGAGCATAAGGAGCGATCGACAGGGCTGCAAGAATAAATAGCAGCTCTAGCTCTCTCTCTCTCTCTCTCTCTCTCTCTCTCTCTCTCTCTCTCTCTCTCTCTCTCTCTCTCTCTCTCTCTCTCTCTCTCTCTCTCTCTCTCTTGTGGGCGCTACTTTCCTGGCTAATCGAAGGTTGCCTGTACAAAGTAGCTTTCTAGTCAAGCATCCTCTGGGCGCTACTTTCCTGGCTACCGAAGATTACCTGCGCATGCTTCACAGGTCTAAAGTTCCCCAGGGGCTCCAGTGCACTGGGAAGCCGATCCGATGGGCAGCGCCCGACTTTGGCAGCCGCGTTCGGCGTTTCGGTCCGCCGGGCGCCCCGGCGGCCTTCGAGCTCGCGCCGCGCCGGCGGGCGATCTTCGACGCGCCGCTCTCGATCTCGAG